TTGGTATTCAAAAATATCCATAATGCCCAGAAGGTGGTAATTTTTGGGACGTTGTCAAATTTACATTTTTTGCGGTGTTGTCAAATTTCCAAAAGATTTCAAAATCGTTAGAAAGTTATTTTGCACTATTTATTTTGAACAATTAAAAATTTTAAAATAAAAGTTTTTCGAGACCTGATATTTCCAAGATTTACAAATTTTTAAAACTTCTAACAAATAAAATATGGTTTGAAAATTTGTCAAAATTTTTTAAAATATTTTTAAAATTTTTTTTTGGTATTGACAAGTATCCATAATGCCCAGAAGGTGGTAATTTTTGCGAGGTTGTCAAATTTACATTTTTTACGGTGTTGCCAAATTTTCAAAAAAAATCAAAATCTTTAGAAAGTTATTTTGCACTATTTATTTTGAAGAATTAAAATTTTAAAACAATAAAGTTTTTCGAGACCTAATATTTCCAAGATTTACAATTTTCCAAAATTTTCAGAATTTTTAAAACTTTTAATTTGCAAATAAAATATGGTTTGAAAATTTGGTAAAATTTTTAAATATTTCAAAATATTTTTTAAAATTTTTATTTGGTATTGACAAGTATCCACAATGCCCAGATGGTGTTAATTTTTGCGAGGTTGTCAAATTTACATTTTTTGCGTTTCCAAAAGATTTCAAAATCTTTAGAAAGTTATTTTGCACCATTTATTTTGAAAAACATTAAGAATTTTTGAAATATTCAAGTTTTATGAGGTCTAAAATTTTCAAAATTAACAATTTTCCAAATTTGTAGAATTTTTAAAATTTCTAAAATTTTACTATTTTTCAAAATTTTAAGTAATAAAATTTTAAGTAATAAAAATTCTGAAATTACTAAATTTTACCAAAAAATTACATTTTTGAAATTTTAAAATGTATGTAACTTTTTTATTTTAAGTGTCCCAAAAAATTTAAAAGTTTAGTTATGTAGGAACTAAAAAATACTTTTTTTTTCAATGGATCACCCTATATATGAATTTATTTTTCGATTCCTTGTAAAATTCTGAGCATAATTCATATAACAAACCATATACCTAAATTCAACTGTTTCTGAAATATTCGCATTCGAAATGTTATCATTAAATATTTTTTTAAACTGTTAGAAATCAAGAATCCTCAGTATACCAAAATTTTTATTGAAAATAAATTACTATAGTGACATTATGTCAATATGTCTTGTTAAATAAGTAAAAATGACGTACTCAGACAGAGAAAGACAAACTATTTCAACTTATTATCTTAAAAATAATTTAAATATTTCAGAAACGGTTGAATTTAGGTATATGGTGTGTTATATGAAATATGCTTAGAATTTTACAAGGAATCGAAAAATAAATTCATATATAGGGTGATCCATTGAAAAAAAAATAAACTTTTTGTTTTTCCCTGTATATTGATAAATTTTCCAATTTTCTTTATACGTAGAAAAAAAGTATTTTTTAGTTCCTACATAACCAAACTTTTAAATTTTTTGGGACACTTAAAATAAAAAATTAAAGGGGAGCGACATTATAGGGGATCACCCTGTACATTTTATGTATTACATAATATGGAAAATAGTCAAATTTTAGAATAGTATGAATTAAATTTTTTTATAATTTTAATAAATTATATTAAAATTTATAAAAATTATAAATTCATTCAATTTCTAAAATTTGTCTGTGTAATATATTATATTAAAATTTATAAAAAATTTAAATTCATACATCATACAATTTCTAAAAATTTTCCATTTTACAAAATTTTTAAATTTCAAAAACTTGGTATCATATTTCTAAATAAATGGCAATTTCTCAAGAGTTGCACCTTTTCCATTTTATTAAAGAATTTCACAAACACATATTTGATGACAACAAATAAATGTCAGTGTCAATTAATTTTTAAGAAAACAATGAACCACCCACAATCTCATACTAAAAATACTAAAAATCACTGCAACACTGCACATCATCCAATGGCGGCCATTTTTGATGTTTACAATTCTTGTGCTTTGGGTTTGTACAGATTAATAATCGTTTTAAACGTTGTTTCTTACAGAGAGACTTGCAAGCCTTAAAAGAGACCTTAAAGAACAATCATTATACTCCTCTTTTGTAAAAAAATAAACCTGTCAAATGTCAATTTTAAGGTTATTTTATAACCTTCAAAGTATAATGAGAGCAAAAGAAGACGAAAGAGAAGAATAACGCCAACAAAATGCAAGTAGCTTGCGAAGTAATACTGACGGTACCCGAGAGGAGTTTTAGTCTGTAAGCCATAGCTACATTATCCAGGATTCTTAATTGTCGAAAACAAGAGCTGATTTAGCATTTTTGGGTTCGGCGTGCCAAAACTACCCTGGAGAGTTGTTTTGCCAACCTGCAGCAACGGAAAGTTTGATTTTGTCGACCTGTGCGCGATAAAAAAAAACACCAAGCGCTAGCAAAGTGAGTTATTACCTCCTGCTTCGATGTTCTTCGGCTCGGATCGGGCGCCGTCGACTTCCGATGCCGCCCCCGCCGCCCCCGCTTCGAACTCGTCGATGCGATGCTTTTTGTAGAGAGTCAGGTCCCCGCCCTCCGCGCTGTCGACGTTGTAGACGTAGAGAACGCCATCTTCCGTCGCGATCAGCAACCTCAGCTGATTCTGGATTCTAAACGGTGAATAAAGTTTTTTGACTTAGGTATACAGGGTGAGTTTTAAGTTGACGCGTTCCTTTTAACAGCGTGTAGAAATCAGATAAACAAATAAATATTTTAAGTAACTTTTTTATCAAAACTCAAAAATAAGACAGTTATAGGCCTTCCAAGTTTAATTAAATTTTGAGCCGGTCCTGGCTATTGTTAACAAAAAACATAACCATAAAAATAAACAATGCAAAATGTCATCTATGACAACAAACATAACCATTTAAATCAAAATGCCATTTAGCAATGAAAAATGTCAGTTTTTTTGTGCCTCAATTATTGTTCAAAATGGTTCATAATTATAGCAATAATGAATTAGTGGAAATGTTACTAATTTATGGAGAGTGTCGTCAAAATTCAAATGCTGCAACTTAAGTAAATAATGTTTGTTGTCAAATATGACATTTTGCATTGTTTATTTTGATATTTTTATGGTTATGTTTTTCGTTAACAATAGCCAGGACCGGCTTAAAATTTAATTAAACTTTGATGGGCTATAACTTTTTTATTTTTGAGTTTTGATAAAAAAGTTACTTAAAACATTTATTTGTCTAGCTGATTTCTACACACTGTTAAAAGAAACGCGTCAACTTAAAACTCACCCTGTATTTCCAAGATTTACAAAATTTCAAAGTTTTTAAGAATTTTTAATTTAGTCAGAAGCTGGTAACTTTTTGCGACGTTGTCAAATTTACTTTTTTTTGAGGTGTTGCCAAATTTCCAAAAGATTTCAAAACCTTTAGAAAGTTATTTTGCACTATTTATTTTGAACAATTAAAAATTTTAAAATAATAAAGTTTTTCGAGACCTAATATTTCCAAAATTTACAAATTTTTTTTAAATTTTTCAGAATAAAATATGGTTTGAAAATTTGGCAAAATTTTGAAATTTAACAAAATATTTTTTGAGATTTTTTTTCGGTATTGACAAATATCCACAATGCCCAGAAGGTGGTAATTTTTTGCGAGGTTGTCAAATTTATATTTTTAGCGGAGTTGCTAAATTTCCAAAAACTTAAAAATCTTTAGAAAGTTATTTTGCACTATTTATTTTGAAGAATTAAACATTTTAAAATAATATTTCCAAAATTTACAAATTTTTCAGAATTTTTAAAACTTCTAATTTAAAAATAAAATATGGTTTGAAAATTTGACAAAATTTTGAAATTTTGCGCCATCTTCCGTCGCGATCAGCTGATTTTGGATTCTAAACGGTTCAAAGCGTGATTTTCCAATTTTCACCTTCAAAGACGATTCAACTTACGTTACTATCGATATGACGTTCCGTACGCCGTAAATGGGCAGATGGGCGGTCGCGAACGCGCGGCCCTGGTTGAAAACGTCCGTCACTTGCGTCGGCAGATAATTGGTCAGGTAACCCATCCAACTTCCCTCGTCTACGCTTCGTCGCGGGCTAAAACAACACTCGTAATTTCTCGACATTCAACGAAACGACGGGTATTATGCTCCACACCTCAAAGTCCCACCACGTGACCACGTACGGAACGCAGTCTTTTGATAATATGGCATTTAAGGCTTTTCAGGTTATGTATCTGTCAAAGTATAGTCAACGAAAGAAATCATATTTATAGTGTTACCGCTTATGTTTAAGCGTTAAAAGTTAATAAATCTTTATAGTATCACAATAACAATGGTTGGTTTAAGAATTTAGAAATATAAATACTGCATTTAATGAAATTCTAAAGTGTATGGTGCCAAATAAGTAATATTTTTGTGCATTTGGTCTACACTTCTCCATAAAAAAGTTTTAACTAAACAGCATTTATTAAAAACATCTAACTTCTCTATTATGAAATAAGAATATCTGTATCAAAGGTAGGTTAATGTATTAGAACAAAAAATATCATCTAATTTTGTATTTTAAGGTTAGAAAAATCTATTTTGACCAAAATAAGTGGATTATTTGGAAGAGTGTGTTAATATGGTCATAAATAAATATAGGTATACTAAATAATTGTTGAATATGGTTCAAATTAAATTGAAGCTATTATACTTCTAACGACAAAACTTGTGCATTCCTCTCGGCATACCTACTTTAAGTTAGATTATAAGAAAACAAACAATTTTTAGAGAAACTTGCAATGTGAAAATACTTAATACTCCCATGACATGTGATTTATTAAAATATTAAAATTATAATGATTTTTTGATGTAGATCAAATTCAGTCAAAGCTTTTTAACTATTTGTATTGACAAAACTTTATGTAGGTACACTTTAAGCTGGATAAGAAAAACTACCACATTTTTAAATACCATATTAAACTGTCTTTTAAATAATCCAAAATACTTATTTATTTTGGTCAAAATAAATTTTTCTAACCTTAAAATTACAAAATTAGATGATATTTTTGTTATAATATATTAATCTACCTTTAATACAGATTTTCTTATTCCATAATAGAGAAGCTAGATTTTTTTAATAAATGCTGTTTAGTTAAAATTATTTTATGGAGAAAAGCAGATATTTGGACCAAATGCACAAAAATATTACTTATTTGGCACCATACACTTTAGAATTTCATTAAATGCAGTATTTATATTCTTAAATTCTTGAACCATCCATTGTTATTGTAATGTTATAAAGATTTATACATTTTAACGCCTAAACATAATATTATTTCTTTCGTTGACTATACTTTGACAGATACATAACCTGAAAAGCCTTAAATGCCTTAAATTTTCAAAAGGCTGCGTTCCGTACGTGGTCACGTGGTGGGACTTTGAGGTGTGGAGCATACATGGCTCCCACGGCTAAATTACAAATTTTATTTAGGAATTTAGGAGGTTTTTGTAAAAATTTTAGGAGAAATAAAGTATGGAAATAAATTTCTTTAATTAAATAAAAACAACTCTTTACTACTTAAAAAATAAGAAAAAAATTAATACTTCTTTTGTAAAAATAAGTTATATTGACCAATTTTTTAGCCAAATCGCTCGAAGATTTTTTTTTAAATAAAATTAAAAGTGAGGTAAAATTACTACTTTTGTATATATCTGAGGTACAAGTATAAATTTCACCACACTTTTATTTTATTTAAAAAAATGCGTCGATAGATTTGGTTAAAAAAATATGCCAAAATCAAATGATGTTATGTTTAAATTTTAAGAAAAAATATGTTAAGGTAAGATTAAGAATAGTACAAGTCCAAAAGTAAAATTTTTGATAAAATATTTCAAAAAATTAGTTTTATAGTTCTAAATTCTGTAAAATAATTTATATCTTCTCACAAAAATGTATTTTAAATTTTAAATTGATTTTAAAAAATATATTGCCAAAATTAAATTTTTGGACTTGTACTGTTCTTATTCTCACCAATTCAATTCTAATATGGGTCCTAATACTTAAAAATCTTATAACAAAATATGAAGTTTGCAAAATACAGCAAAACATTATTTAGATTGTTTACTATGCTGTCATTTAAAAGAAAATTAAAAATCCTTTTGTTTGATATATAACACGGTATATTTTTGTCTAAAACAAACGAAATATGGCTAAAAATTACAATTTTGTAGAAGTGTTTTTTGTTGTTTTTTAAGAAAAAGTTTGGTTGTGATATTATACAGACTGTATAGTCAAGTAAGTAAGGCTGGAGACAAGGATGACAAATTATATTCTGATCAGAGAAAAAGAAACAAACTTTAATTGGGCGTGGTTTAAACCAAGCCATTCGGAATTACGAACCATAGTTGCCAGGTTGTTTTAAATCAGAAGAGAACGATTATAATTATTTAATAAATAGTTCAATTTTATTTGTTTGAAACTTTAAAAATAACGAAAAAATAATTAATAATATGTCAAAAATAATTTGATTTAGTTAATTTTCTTACTTTTAATATTAAAAAATAAGAAAAACAACCCTTTCATGAAACAATAATAGCATATGGCAACAGCGCGGCATGCAGCCAGTCTGGCTGAGCCAGATACAAGGGCATGCAGTTTTGTTCAGTAGCTCCGACGCTGTCGTAGGGAAATGTGTATAGTTTTTAAGAAATACATTTTCGCCATTAACTGGAATTTAATGGATTTTAAACAATACTTAGTTTTTATTTGCAGAAATGCATTAAAACAAAACAAACGAATTCGATAAAAATAAAACCTATAAATTGTCAAACAAAAATAATTCTAAAATAACGAAAATAACTTTTTTTCTAAATTAAATGTTCAAATAGACCACCAGCAGCAGTTAAACAATACCCTAGCCTATCATAAAAATTCCTGCGCACGTTAAACAGCCCTACCACAGTGGGCGGGGTTTGGCACTTGTTTTATTTAAGTGTATCTATTCGTTTTAATACACACTGTATATTATATCATTTTAAAAAGAATTTAATAAAATAGAACCTAAAAATATATATTTAAATTACTTTTTAAAAAAAGAATTTTTTAGCACAACTACCTTAATTAAACGCATGTCAGGTTGACCTATTTAAGTTTAATTTTTAGCATTTTAGGATTTTTAGGAGATTGAATGAAATTTTAGGAGAATTTTAGGAGTTTTCAAGATTTAAGCAAAATTTTAGGAATTTTATGAGTTTTAGGAGGAGTGGGAGCTGCATAGTACCTGTCTTTGGGCTCTTCGAGCTTGAAGACGTGCACCGTCTCGGTGTTGCTGCTGCAGCTGAGGTACTGGCCGCACATGCTGAACGCGAGGCAGGATATGGCGACGCAGCGTTTGACGCCGCGCCTGAACTCGTACAGTTTGGAGCCGTCGGTCACGCTGAACACCCTGATGACGGTGCCCTTTTCCGAGGCGGTCGCCATGCGGCTGCCGTTGGGACTGAAGGCGAGCGCGGCCAGGGGACTGTCGTGCGCCGGGATCATGGTTTTGGCGTGCTGACAACGAGAAAAATGCATTGTATTGTCTGGCAAACGAGACTTTTTTTTTAGGTGCGTTTTGTCTAGCTTGCCAAACAATACTTGGTTTATGCCTTGATTGGTTGTAAGGAAAAAATAATGGCACAAAACAACAATTTTAGCAACATGATGAAAAAATTAACAAAAATAGTTAAACTTCTAGTAAAAAATAAAAAAAATTAATTTCAATAAAAAAAAATGAAGAAAAAATCAAAAATTCCATAAGTTAAGGAAAAAAAAGAAAATAACAAAAATTAAAGCAGTGATGCTACATAAATTCATTATAAAAATACAATAAGCACAAATTTAAGTAAAAAAAAATAAAAAATCAATGCAAAAACAAAAATTCCAAAATTTTTGGGAAAAAAAATGTTCAAAAAACATAAAATAAAAGTTTAAATTACAATTTAAGTAAAAATAAATTAAAAACCCTAATTTAATAAAAAAAGCAAAGCAAAAAACAACAAATTGCAATTTTATTTAAAAAGGATAAAAAATAAAAATTCCAATTTTAATTAAAAAGCACAAAAAACATAAAATTCCAATTTTAGTCAAAAAGCATGAGAAACTAAATTCTAATTTTATTAAAAAATTAAAAAAACAAAAAGCGCCATTATCAGTAAAAAATTTATAATTTTTGTAAAAAAATTTAAATTACAATTTAAGAGAAAATAAATAAAAAACCCTAATTTCAATAAAAAAATCAAACCAAAAACAAAAATTCCAATTTTAGTTAAAAAGCATAAAAAACAAAATTCTAATTTCAGTTAAAAAGCATAAAAAACTAAATTCCGATTTTAGAAAAAAAAATATCAAAAAAAGCACCAAATTTAAAAACAAAAGTTTAAATTACATTTTATGTAATTTCAATTAAAAAAATCAAACAAAAACAAAAAGCATAAAAAACAAAATTACCAATTTTACTTAAAAAGCATAAAAAACTAAACTAATATCAAAAAATAAAAAACACCAACATTGGTAAAAAAATAATTTTAGTAAAAAGTTAAGGTAAGTTTAAATTACAAGTAAAAAGAAATAAAAAATCCCAATTTCAATAAAAAAATCAAAGAAAAATAGAAAATTTTCCGAAAAAAAAATTCGAAAAAAATACCAATTTTAGTAAAAAACATAAAAAACTTTCAGTTCAGACTGTAGTAAAAAAAATAAAATATTAATTAAATTAAAAAAAAACAAAAGTTTAAATTACAAGTAAAAAAGAAATAAAAAATCCCAATTTCAATAAAAAAATCAAAGCAAAATACGAAAATTTCAAAGTTTTCCGAAAAAAAAATTCGAAAAACAAAAATACCAATTTTAGTCAAAAAACATAAAAAACAGTTCAGAATGTAGTAAAAAAATAAAATATTAATTAAATTTAAAAAAAAACAAAAGTTTAAATTACAATTTAAGTAAAAAGAAATGAAAAACCCCAATTTCAATAAACAATCAAAGCAACAACAAAAATTCCAAAATTTTAGGGAAAAAAATATTCAAAAAACATAAAATTCAGATTTTAGTAAAAAATACCAAAAAAACAAAAAGGAACAATATCAGTAGAAAAAATAATTCTAGTAAAAAAACTAAATGTTACAATTTAAGTAAAAAGAAATAAAAAAAACATATTTTCATTAAAAAAAATCAAAGCCAAAACAAAAATTTCAAAATTTTAGGGGATAAAAATTCAAAAACCATAAAATTCCTACAAAAATTTCAAAATTTTAGGGGATAAAAAATTCAAAAACCATAAAATTCCTATTTTAGTTAACAAGTATACAAAACTAAATTCCAATTTTAGTAAAAAAAATCCAAAAAACAAAAAAGGCATCAATAATTTTATTAAAAGAAAAGTAACAAACAGAAAATCAAATTAAAATTTAAGTAAAAACAATATCAAAAAGCAACAAAAAGTAGCAATTTTAGTAAAAAAAATTGATCGAAATTAGTGAAATATCAAAACGCAATGAAACAACAATTGCAAAATTTTTGTAAAGAAACTAATAAAAAAAAATCAAATATAAATAAATGTAAGCTTGCACTCACTAGGTTATTGGCATCGAAGATCTGTACTTCCCCTATGGTCGAAGAGCCCGGATACGCCAGATAGCAGTTGTCCGTGTTGTTGATGGTCAGCGCGCAGAGCCCGCTCGGATTCGGCGGCGTGTCCCGTATCGTGTGCAGCACCTTCATGTCCCTGATGTTGTGGATGTAGAGCGCCTCCTCCAGGCACACCACCAGCCGCGCCCTGTTCAACTTCACCGCCAGGATCGTGTTCGAGTAGCTGTAGTTGCATATCTCCGTGCCCTTCTTGAAGTGGCACACCTTCAGCTTTCGGGGGGCGGCCAGCGACACCACCGCGACCAGGCTGCTGCTGAACAGCCGCTCCACCAGGCAGGAGTCCTCGGTGCCGTTGCTGTAGATCTCCTCGAGCGTGTCGACATTGCTCAGCGAGAACAGTCTGTAACCCTTCTTGCAACCCACAGCCAACGATCTGCAAGGTCGAAAAGGAAACTGCATTTTCAGTTTTCTCTCTTAATACAACTACAGACATCTTTAGGGATTTAAAAAAAAAATTATTTTTTTAATTATTTGAAATTTAAAAAAAAGCCACGAGCGAAGGGATAATACCGATTTACAGTATGTGACGTCAAATTATGACGGGACTGTAGACACTTCCTTAAAATAATCATTTGTTTAGATTTTTAGGTCTGATTACTGTATTTTATGAATAAATTATCATTTTGGAAGGATTTATAATTAAAAATATGCGTTGAATTTTATTTTCTCAAAACAATCAATTTGTAATTAATAAATACAAAATATAAAGCAGCAATGAACATCAAACAAATAATGCACACGTTAAAATTATTTGATAAATTAAAAAAAAGGGCCGAGCGAAGGGATAATACCGATTTACAGTATGTGACGAGCGAAGGGATAATACCGATTTACAGTATGTGACGTCAAATTATGACGGGACTGTAGACACTTCCTTAAAATAATCATTTGTTTAGATTTTTAGGTCTGTTTACTGAATTTTATGAATAAATTATCATTCTGGAAGGATTTATAATTAAAAATATGCGTTGAATTTTATTTTCTTAAAATAATCAATTTGTAATTAATAAATACAAAATATAAACAGCAATAAACATCAAACAAATAATGCGCACGTAAAAATTATTTGATAGGTAGGTATTCCTGTTTTGATAAACTACAGTTAATCTTTATGAATCATATTTTGCAATAATACGCAACGCAAAAAAATTGTTTACGTCTTCTACACGTGTCGAAGATGCCTTCTTTATTTTTTTAAACATACATATTATATTATTTACGATTTTATAAAAATGACCTTTATTTATTACAACACAAGCAAAATTCGTAAATTACAAACACTAGGTGGGTATGTTTAATTCATTTAAATTTTCATTGCCATGGACTACTTCAGTATACTTTAGTGTGTAATTTCAAGGTCCCAAATGCAAACAAAATTAAACAATTTTTTATTTGTATACCTAGATAGAGAATAGAAAAAAAATAATTAACTTAACTTGATAAACAATAAATAGTGTGTATCCTTTGTTTATAAACAAAATAGGTATATATTATTTGTGAGAATCATTGGTAAACAAAAAAAATCATTATTTTGATAAATATATTAAACATACAAAACAACAGTTTTAAAAGGTTACTTACTTGAAAAAAAATAAAAATTGGTTTAAAAACATGATATTCAAGGATTTATTATTAAATTTAAACGAAACAAAAAATTATAGTGGTCTATGGATTGTTATCTGTTGTCATAGAAACAATTATCATTCTTGTCATTTTTTTGGAGGTTTGTTTATATTTATTTTAACTGACCTACTTCTAAAAAGGAATAATTGTTTATCGTTTATGCAATATATAGGTAAATATTGTAGTTTTTTCATGTATTGGCATTGAAATGCAGCCTTTCTCTTTTGGAACACCCAAAAATAATGACAGATACAAAAAAGACAACTCTTTGTTCTTAAACTACGTTAATCGAAGTTACAACATGTAAATTTCGCAACCGCGATAGCTGTCAACGAGAAAACGCAAAAATACGCAGCAAAACACACAACTTACGTGATATCCTGGTTAAAATTTACAAAGTAATTCCTACTGCCATTCGAATCCGAAGAATTTGTGTTATTCATGAGTCCTGTTAGTTGATTACGATCGTTAAATGCAACACTACGACGGGCTGCCCACTAAACGCTGTTAATTGTGTTTTAAAGCTTCTAAACTTCTTATTACTTTACTAACAAAGCCGACCTTCACTACTTGTTCCGTATACAAACACTAAGTTTCTGCCATTTTCTATACCAAACAGCTGATGAATTAATTAGGCGAAGCGCGTGCGCAACCTCCCAATTGAAATAACAAATTCGGAAAAATGCAAGATTTACGTAATTTTATTTTCATTATTAATGAAATTGTTAAAATTAATGTCGTTATTATATTTAAATATTTATCCACAATACAGAATTTAATCAAATCAAATCCAGCAGTGTCACCAACAGAAGTGGCGGTAATTTTGAACACAAAACAGGATTTAAGGTTGGCGATAAAGAGGTTGGCCCCACTGTTTAATAATAAATAATAAAATAAAGATAAAATACTTATTGTTTATAAATAAAATTACTATCTTAAGCTAACATGATAAAGCATAGATAATATTTTTTTTGTACTTATTGTCTATAAATAGTGAAACTTTTTGTGGCTGGGTACTTAACCTATTTTCCTATTTTGACAGTTGCACCTTCTTTATCTGAGTTGCACAATGCTACCCAACAAAATATTGTGATTAAAGTAGTGTTTTAAATAAATAATATTCGCGTATTTTATTCTAAGAATGTGATAATAAATCGTTTCATTTATAAAGTATAAGTTATTAAATTTAAAAAAATGGAGGGTGGACCTAATGTAGAAAAAAAGGGGTTAAACCCAAGTAGGCGAAGTGCACGTAAGGAGAAAAGGAATGAGTTAAGGAAAAATAAGATTTTACCAGAGATTGGGTCCGTTCCCACAGGAGAGAAGAAAATTTTTCACATAGAACAACCTGGTAGTGTTAAAAGAACCCGTAGAAAACCAAGGAAAAAAAGTGAACCAACTCGAGAAATTCACAACAAGCAACATATTGCACAAGACTCAGACTTAATAGATTTTGAATGCCAACTAACCATCAAAGCAATATCAAGTCAGAAATCTGGACAATTTATTAGAAAACGCAATGAAACCAGAAGGAAAATTCAATTGAAAACATTCAAAATAGACAGCACCCCATGTGTGTTTATAACCAATAAACTAGTTAGATCCCTCCAAAAATTATCCGTCAATGACAATAATAATGAGAAAATGAGAAATCGTAAGTTTTATAATAAAGATGACAAAAAAACACCAAGTAAAAAGCAAAATGAACCAGGTACAAGCCAGAACAATTCATCCCCACAAAAAAGACAAACAGATATAAACGAGAGATTCACCCCTTATTACACACCAGAACAAGTCAAAACTGGTTTAGAAAGTAACACTTTGGTTCAAGGCTGTATAAGGATAAACCCAAAAATGGGTCATGAAGCATACGTAAGCAACAAAAACACTAGCTTAAATGACTACTACATTGTAAGTGTGGTTGATAGAAATCGGGCTTTGGATGGAGATGAAGTTGTTTTGGAGATAAAACCAAGGAACCAATGGGTTGATGGTAGGGCCACTTGTAGAGTGGTGTTCATTTCTAAAAAAGTTCACACTCGTTTGGCCATTGGTCACCTAAAAATGCCAGAACCCAAAAACGTCACCCCTGATTCAAAAAACCGACGCAGTAACAGAAAGGATTTTGCGATTTTTTATCCCAGGGATAGAAGACTTCCTTTTATCCGGGTACATAAGGAAACCTGGCCAAAAGGCTTCAATGAAAAACCCAAAATGTACGAAAAAAACCTCTTCATGGTTGAAATACTACAATGGGAAATCCCCAAATATGCCTTGGGGATAGTTAGGGAGAACATAGGTTTGGAGGGAGATTTAAAAGTTGAGGAGTTGTCCATTTTGAAGGAGTACAATTTGGATCCATACCCACACAATCCAAAACTAGTTGAAAGTATGAATTTACCCAAAATCATTGATGATAAAGAGTTTGAATACCGTTTGGATCTAAGGAAGGACTGCATTTTTACTATTGACCCTTTAACAGCCAGGGATTTGGATGATGCCGTTTCGGTGGAAGAGTTGCCAAATGGTAAGTATATTTTTTTAAATGCAATCACCAATTTATGATTTTCTTTCACCAAATTGTTCAGGAAACATTTCTTCCAAGACTACTTTTTGTTTCACCAAAAAATTTTCTAAATTAAATAAGGTATCATCATATTTAAATTGTTCAGTTTCAAAGAATACTTTTTGTTTGACCAAAAAATCTTCTAAATTAAATAAGATATCATCTTATTTAAACAGGTAAACAGATTTTAATAAAAACTAAAATGAAAAAATGTTTTTACTTTGGTGTCATCTGTGGTGAAAATGTAATCTCCAATTCGTGATTTTCTTTCGCTAAATTGTTCAGTGAACATTTCTTCAAAGAATACTTTTTGTTTGGCCAAAAAATCTTCTAAATTAAATAAGATATCGTCATTTTTAAACATGTAAACAGATTTTTATAAAAATTAAAATGAAAAAGGTTTTAATTTTGGTGTTATTTTTAATCGAAATGCAATCACCAATTTATGATTTTCTTTCGCTAAATTGTTCAGTAAACATTTCTTCAAAAAATACTTTTTGTTTGAGCAAAAAATCTTCTAAATTAAATAAGATATCATCATATTTAAACATGTAAACAAATTTTTTTTAAAGTCTTTACTTTAGTGTCGTCTATGGTCAAAATGCGATCACCAATTTGTGATTTTTTTTCGTAAAATTGTTCAGTAAACATTTCTTCAAAGAAAACTTTTTGTTTGACTGAAAAATCTTCTAAATTAATAAAGATACCGCCATAGTGAAACTTTTGAACATTTTTCTCTTAGGTAACTACAAAATAGGCGTCCACATTTCGGATGTAGCCTACTACCTCAAAGACGGTTCCCCTCTGGACGTTTCGGTGGCAAAAAAAGCTACCACAATATACATGGTCAACAATGTTTACCACATGTTGCCCAAGGAAATGTGTTTTCATTGTTCCTTACTGCCAGGAAGCGATAAATGCGCATTTTCCGTGTTTTGGGAAATGACACCGGAATCGGAAATTGTTCATACAAGTTTTGCTAGGACTGTAATTAATTCCTGTGTACAGCTTGCTTATGAACATGCCCAGGTGAGTTAAAATTATATCAATTTGTTTTCTGGTCATCAAAAAAATCGCCTTCTTAGATGATGATTGAGGACCCGGACCGCGAATTTAAAGATGGCGAATTGCCAACGATCCACAACAATTTTACCAGCAAAGATCTCAGCAGAACTGTGAATATTCTGCAGAAAATCGCAATCCAGCTCAAAGAAAAACGCATTCAAAATGGCGCCCTTAAAATCAACCAAGTAAAGCTGTCCTTTAAACTCGATCCCGCCAACGGCGACCCGCAAACGTTCTTTATATACGAAAACAAGGAGGCGCACAGATTAATCGAGGAGTTCATGTTGCTCGCGAATATTTCCGTGGCGGAGAAAATCAACGGCGATTTTCCCGACGTCGCTTTTCTGAGATGCCACGAACCTCCAAAGCAAACCATGATGGATAAACTGCAGAAAAACTTGGAGGTTTACGGTATTTTCATCGACATTTCCGACGCTGGCAGCATAAGTTCTTCGCTGAAAAAATATGTCGGTGAAGATGAAGCGGGATTCGACAGGTGCGCAGTGCTCTACCACCTGTTTTCCAAACCCATGACGAGAGCTAGGTATTTTTGCGCGAGCGAGGGCGAAGATTACCGGCATTTCGCCCTGAGCGTGCCTCTGTACACCCATTTTACCTCCCCGATAAGAAGATACGCCGACATAATGGTACACAGACTTCTAGCGGCATCTCTCGGTAAGCTAAAGAGTTAAAACTTGCGGTAACGAGGTACACAGCAAACGGAAAAATATAGAAGTGTATAGGATGACGCCACGTTTGAATATGGTTTTCTAAATCTCCCCACGGTATAGATTTGTATTCGTCAGTCGAGCGTTTCAATACTCTCCACAGTATAGAGGTCGTAATTTCACTTTTGAACTAGTATTAATATAAAAATTATTTTATGCTTAAAAAAAACTATATACGACATGATTGTGATTTTTTTCATTTTATTAATTAATTAAGCTGTGTTGAATATTTTTCCTAAAGGAATAATTGCCAATGGGCCATTAATTCATTTGTTTGTAGATGCTACAATAACCTGCACTGGTGTGTACTTTTTCATCAACCAGATTTAAATATTGCTGTACTAACATATACCAGTGGAGATAGTGCAGGGTCTACCAACAGACCTCATTACTAAATTATTAAAGTTTAATACTTAGCATATCGATCATTTTTTCAACATAACCTCTGAAATTTTTAATACAAATATAGGTACTTTATAAAATACATAAATATACTTTACATCATATCCTCTATGCTTTACATACCCGCGAGTTGTTACGGTAAATAAAAATCAGACAAAGGAACCAAAGAAAGGAACTATTTTCAACAAAATCATATGCAGAAATGAGAAAATTCAAACTACTTGCATCCATCAAAAGATCAAAACTTATTGCAATATTACACCCTCTTTTTATACTCTCAGAAATATTGACTAGAACAGTTTTAGAGAGACTCCAGTTTCTATAACTTGGTAGAGTAAAGAGAAGTCGAAACCGTTGCGATATTGCATTGCGCTGTTTTTGTATAATTCTCGGGGACATTAACGAAAATCATTGCCAGTAAAATTCGAAAAGCTTGAGTTTCTATGTCTCTGAAGAGAATAGGAATCCGAAGTTGCTGCACCATTGGACTGAACCCTTTTTCAATAATTTCTAGAGACATAAATGACTGCACCATTCGACAGGGTCGAGTTTCTACCTCTCTGTTGAATATAGAAAATCAAAATAATGTATCTTGTAAGACACCATTGAGTTTGACTTTAAATATAGTCGGGCATAGGTAAAGAGTCGAAAAATATAAAAACAAAGCACTATTCAATACAGTTCTGATAAAACTTTAAGATTTAGTATTTAAACGCGGAGTCATCCTATACAGTTCTTGCGGTAACGAGGTAATCTAATAGGAATCTCTTAAGGATACTGCGATTCCCCCCAATGGGACGTGGACTACGTCGCCGGCATTGCCGCCAACTGCAACGGCCAAAAAT